CATTAAGTGCAGTTCCATGAACAAGAACAGAATCTCCATATAATTTTCTTGATGTTAATAGAAAATCTGCATCACCTCTTTTAGGTGGATTTTGTTTAGCATTTGGATAATGTGCTGAACGTTTTGAATAACCAAATTCACGTAAAAATTGATAAAAATCTAAATGTCCATTTTCTTTTAAATGACAACGAGACCAAATTAAATCGATTTCAGTACGTGTTACTTCAGGTTTAATATCAAGACTAAATAAATAAATTCGATTTAAATTTATAATTTATATTTATAAAAAAAAAAACCAAACCGTTTAAATAAATCGTATAAAAGATCTTGTGTTAATTCTCTATATGAAGCCCGATCAATTTTTTTAAATTCTTCTTCAATATCTTTATAACGATTTCGTATTAATGATTTTAACATTTCACGAAGCTTAAAAGAAAATATTTATTTAAGAAAAGAAAAAAGAAAAATGAAACCTCATCAATTGATCTTGTTTTTTGTTGATCATCATTATTTAAATTCGAAATCGAATTATCATTTAATTTATATTGTCTTTCTTCTCTTTTTTGTTTTAATTCTTCAATATTAAATTTTTGATGATTATTTTTTGTTTTTATTAATTCCCGTTGAGATTTTCTATATATTAAAATAAAATTAATATAAATAAAACTAAAACTTAATATACTTCGATAATTTCTGTTGTTGTTGTTGTTGTTGTTGTTCTTCTTGTAAATAAAGTGTTCGATCAAGAACTTGTTTTAAATATTCTTTATATTTAATTTTTCCATTATCATCAATTGGAATTTGTTTAAGTAATTGATAATATTCATCAGGTTTTAATGTATATTCAATAAAATCTTCAATTATTGATCTTAAATCATTTGCGTTTATTGTTCCATTATGTAAATTATCAAAACGATTAAATAAATCTCGAACTTGTTCATAATTCATTGATAATGCATTATCTATTTGTCGTTCTAATGATGTTTGACGAGTTTCTTCATGAGGTCTTTAAAAATAAATAAAGAAAATAATTTAAGAAAAAAAAATGAAAAATATATAAAAATAACAAACAAATGATTATCAGCATTAATTCTTTTTCTCGTTGGATCTGATCTTTGTTTAAAAGCATTAATAACATCATGATAAGGTATTCCATCATTTGTTAATGATAAATCAATATCTAATCGTTTTAAAAAAAAATCCAAAAGATTTGATTCTAATTTTAAACCAAATCTTTTTAATTCATCAAGAAATCGATCACGAGGTAACTTTTAAAGAAAAAGAAAAAAAAATTTTTTGTTTTTTTTTTATAATTTAAATAAATAAAATCTTAAATATATCATACAGTTCCCATTTGTTTTGTATCTAAACGTTCAAGTGAACGTTCAAGATCAGAAAATCCTTGAGGAAATTTATAATTAAACCATTTTTGAATTTGATTTTCATCTAATTGACCACGTGAATCTAAACAATATAATAATAAATAAATAAATAAATAAATATAATATATTATATTATCTATAATAAATACTAATAGTACGAGGTGTTTTTAAATTTGAATCACTATGAGATGATTGAATATTTGTTGATCGAGAATAATTTAATTCTTCATCGAGATTTTCTCTTGAATTCATTGTTGAATCTTCTTCTCCAATAGAATCATTTATTAAAATTTTTATAAATTTATCCGAATTAATTCCTTTGAATCCATCTGTATCAAATCTTTTGTTTTTTAAGTAAAACAATTTTGTTTTCAATAGAAAAACAAAAAAATAAAAAAATATCTTGAACATACTTATCCCATAATTTATCAAATTCTATATCTTTCATTTTATAACCCATATCAATAATAGCATTATGAAATTGTGCTTTAAATATTCTTGAAGATGATCCACCATTCAATGAAGGACAAAGATTTAATAAATCCTTATGTCTAATATTAATTAAATTTTAATATTATATTTAAATAAATATAATTATTTATATATTAACTTAGTTCGAACTTTTTCTTTTAATATAATAAACATTTGTTCAGCTGTTTTTTTTGATGAAGATTCTTCTCTTGATGATCTTTGACTATATATCCAATCAGGAAGATCTTCTTCACCATTATATAATGATTGAAGAAATTCATCAAAACTATTCGTTTTTATTTTTATTTTTATTTAATATAAATAAATAAATTAATTAATTAATTAATTAAAAGACAAACCTTATTTTATTTAAATGTTTAAGATAAAGTCGTTCCAATAATTTATCAATTTGATTTGGTCCAATTTGTTTTTGTGTTCCAAATATAGTTGCAATTAAATGTTGTAAAGCTTGTCGAGAGATTTTTCCATTCGGATCATTTTGAGCAGCATGACGAAATTTCGTTCGAACATCATGTAATTGTGAACGAACTTTTTCTCTTAACATCATTTCAAGTTCATCAATTTCAATTCGAGATGTTCGAACATTTTCTTTCTCTTTATTATAATCACATGATGATGATCTACTATCTGCTCGACGACCTTTTTCATTTTTTTGTTAAAATAATAATTATTATTTTTTAAAAAACAAAAAAAAATTCTTACCAAAAATAGGTAAACGAACTTGATCTCGATCAATTTCATTTTGAGTATTTATATGTTCTTGTATATCATCTAAATGATGTTGAGAATATTTTCTCGTTTTAGAATTATATTTAAATGAAGATGATCTTCTATGACGACGATCAGATTCATTTGTTGAATATTCATTTCGAATTAATTTTCCATCTCCCTGACCATCTCGTGATCTTCCACGAATATCTAATGAATTTTTATCATCGGAATCAATTCGTTTTGATGGATGTTCAATTTGTGGTAATAACATCATTTTTTTATTTAATGATGATGATGATGATGATAATGATGATGATGATTGTTTACGATCATATCCAACAATAGGCGATGCCGATAATACTGACATAGTTGAATTGTCTTTGTCTTTTTTTTTTTCGCAACCAAGCCAAACATTGAAACGTCTAGTTTTTTTA